AATCTATAAAACCGTGCGACTCAAAGGAACAAAGGTTCTTGGTTCGTAGTTTTTGGTTCTTGGTGTTTGGATACGTAGTGTGTCGTCTCCTGGACGGGCGTGCTCCAGATCTTAGAAAAAAAAAGACATTTTGGAACATCGTGGAAGCATCGTTTTCTGGGTGCTCCTAGCAATCGACAGATTCGTCGGTTCGTCCGCGAGAAGCCGCCGAAAGCCGTAATCAACGCCCCGGGGCCCACCGAGTGTTTCACCGGCAGCGTCCATCCACTAGTGACGAAAACCGACTTTTACGAACTTTATTTCGAACTTTATCCGTGCGCTTTGGGGTGCTACCTCGTCTAACAAGTAATTTGTAAGGAAAATTTCTATGTTTAATAAACGGGTTAAAAATGGTAAACCTGTCTCAGAAAGTCATTCTGCGCCCACACGACAGAAAGAACCGCTCGGCTGTCGAATAACCCTCACCCTAATCGGCTGACCTCACACGAGCAATTATTTATTGTGACATCGTCACAGTGCCTGGCTGCAATTTTTTATCATATTTTTAATTAATTTAATTTAAAATTAAATAAATTATGCCAGTCTTCTATTAACTGCTTTCAGGGGAAAAGTTTTGAATTGAAATAACGTGACGTTCGTTTTACATTAGAAGTTTATATATAGTAAATCGAATCCTTCTGCCCCTAAGGTTTCCATGTCTGGTCTCATTTTTCATCTAACTCTGTTCTCAAGATTTAGGAAGGACCGACACACAGACGGACTACAATGAAAATTTATAGATCTATAAAAACCCCTGAAATTGCAGCCCAATAAGACCCCTATTACTAAACACACTCAACTGCTATGGAAGATGATAACTTAGTGTTGAAATGGAAAAAAAAGTGTCTTAAGTAACGAAAACTGGTGCAAAGCATAAAGCTCCATTTGTTCATCTTGATAGTACTTAGCGATTTGTACAGTGTGTCCCAAAACTATATATAATCAACATTTTACTGATTTTCAGAATTGTTAGCAATTTAAGAGAAATGTAAATGATTTCATTTGTATATGCAAATTACTTTTATTTTAAAATTATCAAAAATCAGTGTAAAGATCATTATATTAATAATATAACAACAAAAATATACTTTTGGCTGTCTCAAAAGTATAGATAATTAAACAGAATTGTAAAATTTGAAGCATAAGGAACTTAAAATTACAAAAATAAAAGACATCACATAACACTTTTACTTTGTTGTCAAGTAGTAATTTAAATACTGAATTAAAACTTCCCAAAATTCCACATGGAAGAGAGTTTAGTATGGAAGAAATTGCAAGAATATAGAAATTAAAAGTAGCAGGTTGTAGTGTCAAGGAAATTGCTGTTTTAATAAACAGATCTACTTCTGAAATTTATAAAATTTTGAAACAAATCATCATCAATATCTTCTAAATATTAATCAGAAAGGCCCAAAATCATATCTAAAAGGGATGATAATTGAATTGTGCGTCTTGCATCACAACAGGATAAATCAGTTTGTCAAATTTTCTGTGAAAGTGGATTAAAAATATTAAAAAGTACTGTTCGTCGAAGAATTTCAACAGCTCCACATATGAAATTTGATTCCTTGATGAAAAACCATCATTAACAAATTGACAAATTGGCAAGAATGTAGTGGGCTAAATATCACACATGCTTAGAAGACCAATGGCTCTCAGTCTTTTTCGGTGATGAAAAGAAATTTAATTTGTGTGACATAATTACTGGCATGATATTAGGAAAGAAAAGTGAAGTTTTTCATAAGGCAACTGGGTAATGGTTCTGTTATGGTGTGGGGCAGCTTTGAATTTAATAGTTGATCAAATTTAGTTATTTTAACTGATAGACAGACTTCTAAACGTCATAAAAAAGTCCTAAAAAATAATTTATTACTTATTGAAGAAGAAATTGAAAGACCTGATTGGATTTTCCAACAGGGTAATGTCATAGTTGTTTACGCTCAACAACTAAGTTGTTCGAAGATCATAATATTCAAGTTATGAAGTGACTGGCAAAAAGCCCGGATATGAATCATATTGAGAACTCGTGGGGCATTCTTGCTTTAAAAATTTATATTAATAACAGACATTTTACGACGATTTCAGAGCTTAAACAAGAAACCATTGAGTTCTGGTTTTAAATGGATCCAGAAATCTTACAAAATTTAATTAAATCAGATTCTAATTGCATTTTTGAGGCCATTAAGCATAATGGCAGTTTTATTTCATATTAAATATTTTTCATCAATTTATGTTATGAACTTTAAGTTTAAACTTATCAAACTTTAAACTCTTCTATATTCTTGGGACCTTACAAAATAAGTATTTTGTGTTTAAAATGTTAGATAGTTAAGCATAAAATATTAACACTTCATATAACTATTAAATATTGTAAAATTAATTATACCGTGCTATAAATAAACAATAATAACCACTCGCATCGTTAAGAAATACTTAATATTTAAAAAAATAAAAACATAGATTATACAGGTCAACAGTGGTTTTGGTGTCCAGATATTTTGAGCTGATTTCATATGAATTTGATGTCCTGAATTCAAATATGGCATTAGTTTTTGCCTAGGAGCTCTAATTTTTAAGATATAGCATTTTAGCAAAATATATATTTCAATATCTTAAGTTAAATCCATGGATCAAGTAAAAAAACTAAACATGGAATTTTTATTATTATATTATGCAAATATTATTCTATACAAAGATAGAGGAAAAAGTCATCAATAAAACTAAACAGTTACACATTGAGGAAGCTTCTTTTCCGTGACTTTCGTGAATGTATTTTGGAGCAATCCCTTTTTAAACTCTGCCATCATATGCGTATCCCATCTTCCTTGGTAGCGGTCCTCCATAGTTTTAATATCCTGGTGAAATCTTTCACCTTGTTCTTCACTGGTGTCTCCTAAATTTTCAGGAAAACGGTCTAAGTGACTGTGTAAATAGTGCACCTTAATACTCATATTACACCCAAGGAATTTGAAACTGTTAAGCATCTCGTTTACCAGTTCAACATAATTTTCAGCTTTGCGTTTGCCTAGAAAATTTCTGACAACTGCAACAAATGAAGTCCAGGTTTTTCGCTCAGCTTCATTCATTGAATTTACAAAGGCAAAATCGTTAATGAGTTGCCTTATTTGTGGGCCGTCAAATATTCCTGCTTTAATTTTTTCTATACTTAACTGAGGCATTTTTTCCCCTATATATGCAAAGCATGATCTCTTCTTTTCAAGAGCCTTTACAAACTGCTTCATTAGGCCTAGCTTGATGTGCAGTGGAGGAAAGATGATTTTCTCTCGTTTAACTAAGGGGTCGTTAATGACATTTTTTTCTCCAATGTCCATGTTTTCTCTCTTAGGCCATTTTCTAACCCAGTGGTGTGTTTTGTCTCTGCTATCCCAGAGGCACAAGAAGCAAGGATATTTGGTATAGCCAATTTGCTGTCCAAGGAGAAAGTTTACCATTTTTAAGTCTACACAAATTACCCATTGATGTTCACAATACTTTATCTTCTCCAAGACCAGAGCTATGGTGTTATATTCTTCTTTCATTTTCGTTGAGTGAGCAATCAGTATTGAACCGTATTTGTTCCCATTGTGTAGAAGGACACATTTCAAACTTCGTTTTGAGCTGTCAATAAATAGGCGCCAATCATCTGAAAAATATTCAAGAAGGCCCATTTTTTCCAAGAGTCCTCTAATTTCGTGACAAAACACAAAATTGTTTTCTTGAGAGAAGAAGGGTAGCAGATCCTTTTCTCTTGTACAGTAAAAGGTAATTTTGGTTCCTTGCTCCAGTAAATTTTTCTCCTTCAACCCAGAAGCCAATAATTCAAAAGCTTCTTTTGGCAGGTTGAGATCTCTGGTGAGGTCATTTAATTCATTCTGGTTGAAACATTGAGGAATTGATGACATTCTCTTTTAATCACGGTCACCTTCATTAGGATCAGAGGGATACTCGTCCTCACAGAGCTCTGGTAGCTGGTGAAATGATGGAACTGGCACTTCCTGTGAGTGAGGGACTGAGCGTCTTGCAGAGACTAAATCAGGATAAGTCCACTTGCTACGGTTGTTACGATTGATTCCATTAATATTTACTAGACAAAAATAACAGTCATCGAAGTGATTTTTGGGTTCTCTCCAAACCATCAGTACCCCAAATTTCAGACTTTTTCTTTTCCCAGTAGTCCACTGTCGTAAATGTTCTGTACAAGTTTTAGAGACCTGATACTAAAAAAGTAGAGCTGATAGAGAAAAACTGATTTCATATTTGGATTCAGCAACCCAAATATAGCTAAAATCAGTTCTAAAATCCTAGGCACCAAAAAAAAATTTTTTTTGTTGACCTCTGTTATCTATATTTTGGGACACACTATAATTCATCTATTAAAATAAATTACAGAATTTATGACTATCATTTCTAATCACAAAGTTTATCATTTTTAAACTTCATAATAGACATACTTTCATAATTGCAGCAGATGTATATTATTCAGTTTATAAAATTTGAAAACTTTTTTATTACATAAATTGTTTAATTTTACTCGAATTATTATCTATTTTTATTAAAAAGGCAATTTAAATTGAATTATTTAAAATGGTAGAGACATAAATAAGCTATTAAAATTTAATGAATTTTGTATTTTAAAGTAAAAGTTTTATTTATCAACAATATAATTATTATAATTAAACATAATTGTAATTTTTTTCTAATAATGTTTTAAACTACCCAATTTTATAATACAATAAATGATATTGGTATCGTTGACAAATAGATGTTCATTGGATAACTGAAAATCTAATGAAATATAATTTTCTATAAGTTTATTTATTGCATTATGCAGGCCTTAATACAAGTTAATTATGTTCATAAATATAATTTCTAATATATATAAGGCAAAATATATATTTTTGCCTTAAAACAGATAAAAGATTGAGATAAAACAAACAATATTTAATTATATTTCTCTAATTTTTCTATTTCTCTGTTATATATTATTATTTCAAAACTCTTTTTACTGATAAATTGTATATTTTGATACTCTTACAGTATAAATCACTTTTAAGAAAAATTAAGAATGAAAACAATCTTCATTAGCTTTCTGTTTGTGATAATTCTCTTAATAAACCCAAGTAAGTAGCTCATTTTTCATCATTGCTTATTAATAATGTTGAACAATTGTTTACTTCGTATAAACCTAAAGGCATACAGGGTAAAACCTAGTTATGTTCGATATATTAGATTCACTGAATGATTAGTTTCATTAAAAATTACGATATTAGTATTTTAATAACTGACTCTTATCATATATATGTATTAAATTCTATAGGTTTAGGGGATGAAGAAGATTCAAGAACAGTATACCGTGGAGGAAGTTATCGTTTAAGAGGACGAGAAGACGATGAAGATTCAAGAACGGTTTATCGTGGAGGAAGTTATCGTTTAAGAGGACGAGAAGACGATGAAGATTCAAGAACGGTTTATCGTGGAGGAAGTTATCGTTTAAGAGGACGAGAAGACGATGAAGATTCAAGAACAGTATACCGTGGAGGAAGTTATCGTTTAAGAGGACGAGAAGACGATGAAGATTCAAGAACGGTTTATCGTGGAGGAAGTTATCGTTTAAGAGGACGAGATGTTGAGGAACCTTTCGTAGTATCTAAAAACGCTTATGTTACAGGAGGAGGAAGGGCGTCTGACAAAATTTCAAAACGAGCTACACCTAATTTTATCCGTTTGGGTTAATCAGAATGTTAAAATGTAATAATTGAAAATGTCTACATATACATGGAAAAAATTAATTTTAAAAATAAGCAAATAAAATTATTTTAAGTTAACGCAAAATCAATTGAATGAAAGAAAAATTATTCAATTTTTTACATAAAAATCAATTTAGTTTTAATTACAAATAACGAATCACACTAAACTGAATATTTGTAAGTTTAATTTAACATGTTTCGTATAATTTATCTGTTATCTCATTCCACTTTGGAACATTAGGGTAAGAACGGCTCAACTGAAGATAAATGAAAGCATCGAATAATAATAATAGTCTCTTTTTGGGCACTTTGAGTTTAGATTTTTTATTTATAAAACATAAATATAGCTGTAGAAATGAGTGATAAAACATATTTAATGCATTATTGAATTAATTTAAACTTAATTAGTTTTTAGACCGTAGAGTCGGTTCCCAAATTAATAGGGATACTTGCAAAACTTTCTTATCTTTGAACTTCAGGTATGTTAAAAATAGAAAAAATAATTGTAATTTTTTCTAAAAGCTATTTTTTATATTAATGTACTGCACGTAAGTTTAGCAATTAACATTAGCAAAACTATGAGAAAAATATATTTATTAAGTACAGTCACTGTAACGTGGCGGTTACATAAATGTACGCGAGAAATGACAGCGTTATTGTACGTTTTCTGCGAGACAACTCATATTGAAGAAACTGTGACAGCCCATTCGTCGAAAAAGTACTGGTCTACTGAGTGCAGACGATTCCGTTTGATGAGAATGCTCGCCCTTACAAGGCCAGACCAACTCAGGGACTTTCAAAAACCTTCGGTTGGGAAAACTTGAAATATTCGTTCTATAGCCCAGACTTTAACCACCAGTGATTTCCACTGATTTTCATCCCTAAAAAATCATTTGGGTGATTACTGCATTGACGATGATAATCACATTTCTAATGAGTAATCTCGTTGGATGCGGGAGCAACCAAAAATCCTTTTTGCTGGTCTCTTCAAGGATTTGTGAAACTATGTGATAATTGTCTGGGTATACTGTACAGAAAAATTATGTCAAAAAGTAAAAAAATTCAGTCATTTATTTCACTCAATTTCTTAGGAGATAAGTCAGTCTCTTTCGCAATTCAAAAAATAAAAATAAATTAAAAATTAAATTAATGTTAGAACTACAAAAAATGAACACAGCAAGTCTTAAATAAAGTCAATTTACTGTTACTATGAAAAAAACATTTAAAAAATAGCTCAATTTTGGCACCAACTTGTACCTGTAGAGTAACGAAGTGACAATGACACAATAACAATTGTTTATATACAACGATTTAGAAACTAAATCACTATGATAGACTTTATATCATAAACACAGGAAACCTACTGTTGTTCCAATTAAGTCTATCAAACGGTAAACCTAACTTTGTCTTAAAACGAAGTCTGTTTCAATCAAAAGACAAAGTTTAGTTGGCAAAAGAAATTTTATTCGCTATGCATTTCGGGATTAAAACATCCCCTCTTCAATCGAGAACACTCTACTTTTCACAAATACACTTTTCATTAAAATCGCAATACCGTCCTCAAACTATAATTTTGGAAATGCAGAGAAAAATCCAGCTTCACAAATATAACTCTTGTTAATACACTCTTCAAACCGTTTTTTATGGAAAATTATACGATTTTCACTACTTCACATGCGTTCATCACTTCTTATAGTACAAATGATACAGAGTTTCTTACGAGTATAAATCTGCACTCGTAAGAAATGGTGAACACATTTAGAGTTTACAAGAAAGATAAGATTTGAATAGTGAAAAGTGATCCTAATAATTTGGCTACCGATTGTAATTGTACAAAACAAAAATTTTCTTAAGAAATTGAATCGGAAATTTTTAAGTTCGTTCATTCGTCTATAGTTGATTATTTACGATCAGGGGTGGAACGATGGTGCAGCCCTGATAAGAGGAGAAATACATTTTTGTAGCAAGAGGCCCCGGACCCTTAAAGGGGGTTATAACCTATCTTTTGAAGTAAACGTCTTTATTTCTTTTTAAGGTCATATCACTGTACTGTGGGAAGGAGGAAATATGGAAAAAATTTCAATGTAAAAAGATTGGCGTTCGGATCTAGTTGAGTCTTCAGGACGAAGCAAGTGGAGAAATGTAATTAGAGGAGAAGCCGAAAGACCAGGAGGTTTTATAGAGGTCTGTGCTGTCTCTTCACGGGGCTGATGATGTGGATAGAATTGTCATTCTACTATAAGTGTGATACAAAAAATATAGTTCGTTGCATGTGCGACCGCAGAAAATTTTTCATGGGAGGACAAACCTTCAAGATAAATAATTACATCAATAATTTTTTTTTTCATTTTTGGGAGTTTTTCACAAGTATATTATGGAATACAATATTGCATCAAAGCGACCCATGTCGAAAGGTATAAGGTTACAAATATCTATCACTTTTACGATTATAATTTGTGGAATTTTTCAATCGATTCCAAGGAAGGATAAGTATCCCGTTTGGTCTCCTCTGCTGACAGCCATGGTTCGTTGATTTTTGTTTAGTATTCCGAAAATTCAGCGACTATCTTTATTGCAGGAGGTCGCTGACATTTAAGAGCATCCTTCCGGGGATAAAGTACCGATCAGAGAAAACACAATCATTTATGTTTTCGAAAAATGTGCTGAAAAACTATATATACCTGTAAGTTTTAATTTTTTCAATCTTTTTTATTTATTTTTTCCTGGCTTTCCTCAAATTGAATGACAGCAAAGCCAAGATCCATTTAACCATTTTTATTCCTTCGATATTCTGAGAAATGAGATAATTTTTATTGTGATAACTAAAGTAGAACTATACGTAAATGCAATCTATACATATAAATCAGACTATACAGGTAAATAATGCATATATTATATAATTATATCTATAGTAGGGATGTAAAATATAAATTTATTTATATATTCTTGCCATTAATATGTTAGAAAACAGGCTTTTATAAATTTAAATAAAAAAAAAGTAACTCTTAAAAATGATTATTAAAGGAATACTCGTACACTTACATAAATATGATTATTAAAAGAAATTTAAAAATAACTCAAAATTATTTTTACTGATATTTTACAGTAAAAAGAAAATTAAAGAAATACAAGCAAAATATTTGTATTGACTCATTTTAATTACTCAATATAAACATTTTTCTTAATTTAAACGTTTCCCTATATTTTACTCATGCAATTTTCTTTAATTAATATTAATAGATCTTAAAATTTTTAAAAAATGATCCGATCATTAAAATTTATCACTCAGTAATTCTGCAAGATATAATTATAAAAATTATCATTTCAAATTTAAACTTTACTAGAAGAATTAGACGCAATTCCTCTATTAAAATGAATTACAGAATTTATGACTATCATTTCTAATCACATAGTCTATCATTTTTAAACTTTATAATAGACATAGTTTCATAATTGCAGCAGATGTATATCATACAATTTATTTTATAATCATTCAAAATTTGAAAACATTTTTATATAATATAAATTGTTTAATTTTACTCGAATTATTGTCTATTTTTTATTAAAAAAGCAATTTAAATTCAATTATTTAAAATGGGGAAAACATAAATAAAATATTAAAATTTAATGAATTTTGTATTTTAAAGGAAAAGTTTTAATTTATCAACAATGTACGAAGTACTAACTTGAATTTTATTCTAATAATGGAAAATACTATCCAATTTTGTAACTAATTGTCAGATGTTCATTGGATAACTAAAAATAAAATAAAATATACTTTTTCAAGTAAGTTTGTTTATTGGATTATTTAGGTTCTAATAAAATTAATTATATACGTAAATATAATTTCTAATATATATATAAGTAAATATTTATTTGTTTTAAAACAAATAAAGAATTGAGGTACATAATTACT